CTAGAGGGGACCTCTGCCACCGCGTCGCTAGAGGGAACAATTGTCACTGCGTCGCTAGAGGGGACATCTGCCACCCCGCCTTTCCCTCGAACTAATCACTCACCGGTCTGTCTGGGAAATTCATCTCCTCCCCGTCGCCTCCAATCGCGTTCCTCGCCAGTGCCCACTACGAGCAAGTCAAAAGGACAAGGTCGGAAAGTCAGATGGGGGTGGACTGGGCCCGGCTCTGGGTCGGGTGCTCTGTCGTCGCTTCGTTGCGATAATTAATTCCGCATGGATGACTTGTCGCTCTTCCTGGTTTGTCCGACTGGTCCGTCGGTCGCTGCTTATTAAATGGGTCGGACGACCAGGTATGCTTGCTTGCTTTTCTCTTCAGCAGTTGCCCCGGCTGGCACTAATTGAGATAACAGGAACGCTATTATTCGCTTAACTCCCGACGAAGGCGGGAAACGCCCTCAGTCGCGCCTTCTCTCGGCCGGTCTACCCGCCGACACCACTCTTGTGGCCCAGTGCCGCTGACACGGGCAAAGCTTGGCAAATAAGGGACAGGATTTTATACCTCATTCTCCATATCTGGGTACGCTTCGTTGTTTCTTGTCCACTGCGGGTCAGTGTAGTTTGGCTGGCTCTTGGTTGTCTCTACTCGCTACCTTAGCGAAGAGACGTTAAATGGTATTGAGAGAGAGAGACTGATTTGCGCGGATGCTCGGTATGTTGGAGTTCACTTGCTGTCGTACCACCGTTGTTGCGAGCATTTAAGTCTCTGTAATTTCGCCACTTGCCATCCAGCAGCACAGCGCTCATCAACCGCATCAACTCACCGCAATCCCGAGAGCGCGGTCATCATCAGCAGTTTGTTTCAGGTACATATCGGTGATATCGGTGAACAATTATACCAAGGTGTAAATACCTTAGAAGTATTAAAATACCATTGGGAAATTTTAATTTGGTTGCGCTCACGCGCACCGATGTCCCGCCCCCATGACACCGCCTCTGCTGTGATGTCTCGACCTAAAGCCGACCACCGCCGTCGGCCACCCGACTACGGCTAGCCGATTATACTTCCGAACCAGCGTGCCTTTTATCTTGTAATTTCTCCCCGTGTGCCCGCCACTTACAAATGCCACATTTATTGTTACCCTTTTACCTATATCATCTGTATGTGCATGTTAGCGTGTCTGCCACAATACACATTACTGCTGCGGGGTTGTGCCGCTCCTACTACAGCAGACGGCTCCCGTTGGATGCTCCAACCAACGGCGCTTCGAATATCGTGATGTATGTACGGGAAAGAAGCTGCCTGGTTCCGCGTCCGCCTCCTTATCTGACAAAATAGGCAACCCCGGGGCTACCCAACTTCTGCCTGACCGGCCGTTAGACTGAAAAATCTTAAATCCACACGGCCTTCTTAGCTACCCCGTTCCTTTTGCATTAGAACATCGCAACGTTTTAAAAGCGCGCAACAATGCAATACGTGCGTACTACAACAGTTCCGGTTGTCGTACTTGGCGACGAGTCTGTGTGAAAGCCCTAATTAGGCTATTTATTACGTTTTTGTTTTTATCAGTTCCACGTCAGTTTAGTCCAGGATGCGCAGGGCCTCATGCACCAAGTGTTTTGCATCGGCCGCGACGGATCGAATTCCGCCGTCACTACTGCCACCTTTGCCGCGTTTGCTGCTGCCGCTGCCGGCGGCGGCCTCCGGCGGCTGTTCCGCCCGGACGCCACCACCTGCGACGGCGGCCGCCGTCGCCTCGTCATGTGGTCCCGCCGGCTCCTCCGCCACAGCCTCCGCCTCCGCCGGCATAACCCTCCCGCCATCCTCCATGAACTCGCCGCCGTCGCCTCCGTCACCGCCATCGCCGGCGGACCTCGGCTCGCCCTCCCCCACTCCCATCACCTGTACAGTCGCCGCCGCATTGCACAATTGTCGTACTCCATTTGCCAGCACGTACGTAGCACGCTTGCCCCGGTATATTTCCCCTAATGGTACAGCAAATGTCGTACCTACGTGTTCCCATGCAACCATATCTCCCTGCTACTTTAGCTACTACTACGCATTCACACCAGCCCACCAAGCCCACCACATCCCCCCGGGGGGGAACCTTACGCCCCACGGCTACATCACACACTGCATACACCGCAAGCACGCGCGACTATCCGCGCGTCAAGCAGCCATACCATGCATACATGCGTACAGACATCTGTACAGACATGGATACAGACAGAACTACATACATACATACATAGATACATATAGGCAGGTGGCTGGCAGAAGTTAAGGCCTGACTTCTGCTCCCGTAGGTTGCGGGTTCAAATCCGCCTGCCGACCTCTCGGTGTGTGAATTTGGAGGTGGGCCCCCATCTTGTGGACGGTGTAGGACGTGATAATATCAACTTGCGCGCTGACCAGGAACTAAGTTGAGGCGCCGTTGATCCGCTAGATTTGGTTGGATGCTGGTGGTGAGTTGCCGAACCCAACGAATACATTCCGAAGTCGGATGGGGTGAATGGATTAGGGTGCCTATCTCGCAGGGGAGCGCAGGGAACTGCCTCCTAGGGAAAGGGGGCCGCTGGTGAAGGTATACCACCCTGTAACAACATACGAACATACATACAGACTGACAGCGACCTACCTTGCAGGCCGCGTCGATGGCGGCTCCGGCCACCTGAAGGGCGGCCGCCTCCAGAGCGTGCGCAGCGGCGTGGCCGGCGTACGACAGGCGCTGCTGCGCCGCTGCCGCAGCAGCGCTGGCGGCGGCGGCGGCAGCGCCAGGGAGCGCTAGGACCTGTTGCACCAGGGCGGAAAGAGGGATGTAGTGCTTCTCTTCATGCTGTTTGGGGGCAATAGGGCCGAGCGCGGAGTTCGGCTGCGCCGCACGGCGAGGATGGCCTTTACAAGGACAGCTCCTCCCTTCTCCATTGTACGGAAAGAGCATAATTGCCTCGCATTTCTTTCCGTGTACGGCCCAGCCCGTGTACATGTCAGTACATGTCGTACACGCAGCATGTCAGGTTATTGAATGCGCACGTGCACGCGATACAAAACACAACGCAACGCAAACGTTTCTGCAGCACCAACGACCAACGACCAACGACCGCCAACAAACAGCACCACACGGACCTGCTCCAAGCCCCAGCCGCTGCCGCCGCCGCCGCCGCCGCTGCCACCGCCGCCCCCGCCGCCGCCGCTGCCGCGGTCTGATCTCAGCGACGCACCAGGCGTTGCCGCCGACGGTGAGCTTGGTTCGGAGCTTGGCGCTGGCGCTGCCGTCAACTCTGATGGTGGCGATGATGCTGTTGGCGACTGCCACGCCCCCGGGCTCTTCGTCGGAGGCGAGCTGCCCGGTAGGGCGCCCTCCCTGCCAGCGGTTGGAGCTACGGACGCAGCTGTGGCAGTAGTAGGTGCTGCCGGTGTAGCAGCAGCAGCAGCAGCAGCAGTAGTAGCGATAGCAGTGGCAGCATCACCAAGGGAGGAGCGGGGAAGAAGTACGCCCTCCGCCTCCTCCGCCCCCTCCTCAGGCCGCAGCGGTCGCTGTACCACCAAATTGTTGACACCACCACCACCGCCACCGCCAGAACCGCCACCACCATCCGGTGCCACAACCGCGCGTGTGTGTATTTATGGAGGTGTGTGGTGGTTGGGGTTGCGGGTTGGGAGAGGTCAGATTGGTGCGGGGGAAGAGGGGGACGAGGGTGGTGGGAAGGCGGGGCGCTTGTTTAGTTGCGCGAGTGCGAGATGAGGGGGTTAGGCGGGGGGAGGACGGGAGTTCATTATGAGGGTTTTCTTTTCCGCATAACGTAAATATTACTGATACACACTGTACGGCGTGGCACGAGCTTCCGGGGAGCTCTACGACACTGTACGACGACGGTGGGCGGGCACAGCTGTCTCGAGGGAGATCACGGAACGTTTCATGATGTCGGCGACGTTTCGTTGAAGTTGAATATCGTTTGGATTGGAGCTCCTCCTCCGCCGGAGGTGAGGGGTGACGAGCACGAAGGAGACGATGTCCCCTGCGAACACATGTACTCCGCGTACTATCTGCCGGACTATCTGCCGTACTACCTGCCATACTATCTGCCGTATTATCTGTCGTACCTGGCTCATCCAGTAAGGTTGGGCCCCCCATTACGTGAGCGCGACACGCCTCAGCCTCAGTTCCCCCCCCTTCCCCCCAACCTCACCTCCACATCCTCCAGCGCGGGGTGGCGGTGGGTCACATCGAAATCAGGCTCAACGGCAGCTCCGTTGACGTCAGCTGCTGCTGCTGCTGCTGCTGCTGCTGCAGGGTCGCCGCCACCGCCGCCGCTATTTCCCGTTGCTGACGTCAGCGCCGCCGCCGCGGGCCCAAGGACCCTTCCGAAGACTACGCCCGCCAGGTGCCGTACTGCATCCGCAGCGCCGCCGCCGCCACTGCCGCCGCCAGACGGTTGACGTCGTCGGTGCTCCTCCTCCTCCTCCTGTCCGTCGTGCTCCCTACGAACCGACGAAGGTACGGCAGTCGCAGGGTCGTCGCCGGCCCCGTCGCCACTGACCGCGGCTGCGTAGGCCCGCTGGTCGTCCTCCAGGGCCTTACGCGCCTGCCGTACGACCTCCTCTGGACGTCTCGAAAAGGACGCGGGAAAGAGGCAGATCAGATTGGGTGGGGGGAGGAAGACGGCCCACAGACTGGGGGTGGAGCTGCTGCTATCAGAGATTAGACGGATAACTCAGGAAGAGACAGATACTGACAAAAAGAAATTGTAAGAAGTCTCCAACCAGAGGTGTGGGGGAAAGGAAAAACACGCACGGAACGGACAACAGCCGAGTGAGAAAATGGGGGTGGGGAGGTGGGGGGGCTTGGCGGTGGTAAAAAAACACAATCTCAGATCATGCGCGTGTGTATGTGCGTGTGTGTACATGGCGCGTGTGTACATGACCAGTACATGACGACAGCTAGTACGACAAGCCGTGTAATAGGGCCCACAATGTCGTGTTGTATGTTGTACTGTGTGGCGGTTTTAGCGCTCGTTTGGGGGAGGAGGGAAAAGCGCTCCTTTGCACGTTCGAGCCGTTCGAATTCCCCTCGATTTCGCTCTACTAGGAACTAGGAAACCCTAAAACCCTAAGCTATGTACGAGCACGTGTGCTTTGCTTGCTGTGTGTTTTGGAGCTTGGGAGGCGACATCTGCTCACCCGTAATCTCTGTTATCAATCAGCACCAAATCGAATCGCTGTACGACCGATCATGGCATCGGGCTGTGTCATACCTGACAAAGGGGCCCTATGTGTACTGTCCGGGGCAATGGCGCCATCACCACCGCCACCGCTGGCAGCCGCCGTACAACAACCGGACGACAGTTGCCGTACAATCGCCACTGCATGATCCAGCTGCAAGACCTATACACAACAACGCGGTGACGTCACAGGGAGCGGTGTACGACGAAGTACGACACAGCGAGAAACGTGCGCTGTATGGGTAGTAGCTATCATACGTACATACGACATGCCTCATCCTCGGCCCTCTGATCTCTCTCTCTCTCTTCTTCTCTACCTCTCCTACCTCCTCCTCCGTAGCTAGCTCGGCCATGCCCGGCAGCGTCGCCGCCGCCGCCGCCGCCGCTGCCGCCACCGCTTCCGTACACTCGTGACGAAAGCGCTGCTCGTCGTCCCGGGCAGCCTTAAGAGCTCGATCCAGCACCTCGTCTTTGTACGACAAAGTGACATGGTACGACGTGATGTGAACACGTTGAGTGTTTTGGTTTCGTTAACGAAATCACACCGGCACCGGCACCAAACAAAATCGGTGCGGGGAAAGATGCGGTGCAAGATCGTTCCGGCAGGGAAAATCCAAATCCAAATTCAATATTCACAACCGAGCGAGGAGGGAAAAATATACGATGAATAGTTGTAAATGTTGTAAATGTACGACGAGAAACCCTAGAAATGAGCTAAACCTTAGCAGAAGCGAGTTCAGGCAAGAGGAGGAGGACGGCACCCATGAACGAATAACCTCCGGGGGGGGGGTAACCGATTCCGGTGTTGGGTTCCTCCGTCCCTTCGTGGTGGTTGTGGTGGTTGTGGTGGTTGTGGTGGGACATTAAAGTACGGCCTTCTACTTCCTAAACCTTTGCGCTTTTTCCCTTGCTTCATATTTTTGCTTTTTTTCATGCTTTTTGTATTTTCATGAGAGGTTCAGGAAGAACATCTCTTCCTGAACCACATAAACACACACACACGCACACCTCCTCGTACCCGATAGAGGTGCAGGTCCTCCTCCGCCGGCATCTAGCCTCCCTCCTCCCCCTCCTCCCCCTCCTCCTCCTCCTCCTCCACCCCCGCCGACATCAGCTCCCTCCCAGCTCTCCAAGCCGCTCCCCTGACCACCGGCTGCTGCTGCTGCTGCTGTAGCATTTGAAAGGTGCGCTCCTCTGCTCGTCCTAAGCGTCTCAACCAACTGCTGTACCTGTGTACGACAGATGGTCAAGCGGAGCGGGTGCAAACGTAGCGCTAGTATCAGCAATAATGTGACTGCCGTACAAACTGCTTTTTCATTTACTGTGTATGTCTGTATGTCTGTATGGAGGCCTGAACCTTACTCGAGGGGGGCTTCATGAGTTTCTTGGCGGTTTATGGTGGTTGATGGCGGTTAAGGAACTGTGTGGGGTAGGGTTTGACTCGTGCGTATGATGTGAGGTGCACCATTCCTGCGCCTGATTGCTCTCTCCGCTTCCCCCCGCCCCGCCCCCCCCACCCCACCCCGCCCCGCCCGCACCCAGGGAAGTATTCCAATCACGGAATGCCCGGTTAAACAACGTCGCTCAGGTTGATCAATCTTACAGCTCCCATGGCATGCACGCGTACACACAAATACAGACAGACAGACAGACAGACAGACAGACAGACAGACAGACAGACCGCAGACGTACCTCATCATCGCTGGCATGTTCTTGCATCCCGGGAAGGCTCGCGGGGCCCATCGACACCCCCCGCGGCGCCGCCAGCAGCTGCACCGTCGCCGCCGCCGGCGGCGCCGCATACGCCGCTGCCGCCGGACGCAGCGCCGCTAACTGCTCGTCCGATAGCTCTGAAGTTGGCGGATCCAGAAGCGTCTGTGCCTCGTTCCTGATACTGCCGCCACTGCTACTGCCGCCACCGCCACCGGCCTTCCGCGCTAGCTGAAGCCGTACGTAGTGCTCCTCCGCTAGGCGAAGTTGGTCCGGTATATTGAACGGGTTGCCTGATTCCGTCACAGTTACAGTCGCCGTCACCGACTCCGGCGGCGGCGGCGGCGGTTCCGCCGCCTCCTCAAGTTCGGCCCCCTCCTCGCCTCCCCCTTCACAGTCACCGCCGTCGTCTTCCTCCAGTGTACGGACCAGATCTGATTCGCCCACCTGGCCGACGCTACTGCTGTCCGCGCCGCCAACGCCGCCGCCACCACCGCCGCCGCCGCTGGCGTAACCGTAGCCGTACACACCGGCGCTGTACAGGTCCAGGGAATCCAGGTTGGGTCCCGCCGAGCCAACATCTGAGCCGACGGACCAGGCGGTGGTGCCGTCGCCGCCGCCGCCAGGACCGCTGGAGAGGGCCGTGCTGCAGCCGCCGCCGCCGCAGCCGCCGCTGCGGTTCGCAGAGCGCAGGATGGCGAAATACTCCAGGGACGGGGCTTCCTGTCCTAATTCATCCTCCTCGGGCGCCGCCACAACTTCTTCTTCCCCCGCCTCCCATGTACGACTTGGCGACGCGTAGGCGTGGGGTTTCGCTGCTTCCGCAGCAGCACCGGCCGAGGCGCCTCCGCCAAGATGCCCCGCTGCCGCCGCTGCCCCCTCGTCATCTTGCGCATTCAGCCCAAGCAGCCGCCGCAGCTTCTGCTGCTGCTGCTGCTCTTGTAGCTGTAGCAGTTCATGCTTCCGCAGCGCTTCTTCGTCAAGGGGTACAGGCCCATGAGAAGCGGACGCCGACGTCGCCGCCGCCGCCATGCGGTCACTGACCCATGGGTCAGTGACCCGCGGGTCACTGTGAGCAGCACTTGGCGCTGCCTCGCCACCACCGACTACGATCTTCGCCTCCTTTACGCCCTGCTGCTGCTGCTGCTGCTGCGGCGGCGGCGGCGGCAAATCTAGACCTCCAGCTGGATTAGCTCTCAGACCTTTACGGAGGTGCTCGGCATGGAATAAATCGCAGCTTGTGTTGTCGTTGTTGTTGTCGTTGTTGTTGGTATTGTTATTGGCGGTGGCGATACATTCCGATGGCGGCTGAGGCGCGGCTGGTTCGCGAGCAGTGGTGGTGAGACGTTGGCTGCTGCTGATGCTCTCCGCGGCCGCGTCATAACCTTCAAATTCTCGGAGCAGAGCTGCGCTGACGCCTCGGTTGCCGTCTGAGGGGACTTGTAGCGGCGTTGGTAAAGACTCCAGCTGAGAACCATGTAAGCTGTGCTGCTTGCTAAGGACGCCGTTGCCCATTTTTTCCACACAAGTGTGTGCTTTGCGCTTCACGGGCGCGGATTTTGCAGCACAACAGCGCTGAAACGTCTAAGAAGTTTGCAAAAAATGATCAGGAGCTGCTGTTTTCTCAGAGACAAAGACTGCTTGTGCTGTGTACCATGATTGTTTGAAACAAGGTTGCGCGACGAGCGGTTGATTAAAATGCGTAGATGCCGGTGCAAAAAGCGGTGCCTGGGGCGGTGCCGGACAGTGCCGGCACTGCGCCGGACGACATGGTTCACGGCGGACTGCTGCAGCTCGGCGCGTCTCTCATGGCAGTGTCTTACAGTGCTATTTAATATTGCATGAAAGTGAACCAGCCATGTGCTCTAGACGAGGTGGCCCATGACATCATTCTAATTTGAAATAAGGCAGCGCCCCCCTCAAATAACAGCCTGCAGCCCAGCCTGCATCCTGTGGCAATATCACAGCCGCCGCTTAGCACCCCGTCCCGCCAGCTATCCGACAAACAAGTAACGGCATCCTTTCAAAGAATAAGTAAGGTGTAAGCACATAGCTGCTATAATTTTATCGGAGCACATCAAACATCTGCTAGAGATACATCCAGCGGCGACGTCGACAGCACATCGCTTGGACCGTCCTACGTGCCTCTAGTGCCTTATGGCTGAAATGGCTGCTGAAGGTAAAGACATATATTCCTGATACGATACAAAACCAAAAGGAGCAGCACTTGAAAGTTGTACATAATTTTAGGGACGACGCAACAACTTCCCAGATGCGCCACAGTATAGTGCAGAGGTGTGGCTGGGGAGACAGATTCCTGATATTGGGCGGAGGACACCCTTGAATGAGATTTTTTTGGCGCATGATGTAATCACGCCGCTCCAGCGCTCCATGTACGTGCTCAACGTGCTCTGAAGGAAATCCCGAACAGTCTCAACTGAAGGCCGCGGCACCGCGTTATCGTAGAGAGCACCCAGCAGGCCGGCACAAACGCTGATGTCGCCCGTGCTTACGTTGCAGTTGCTGACGACGGACAGCAGTGTAGCGTTTAGATTGGTGACGAAGATGTTGACGATGCCGTTTGAAAGGAGCTTCTGGATGGTTTCACACGTGCTGTTGGTTAAGGGTGTGGTGGTGGCGTAGTTGGTGACCGTCAGGTTGACACAGAAGGGGCAGTAAGGGGCCTCCGGGAATGGGACCCTAGGGGGTGGAGGAGATGGGACCGGTGGAGGAGGTGGAGCTGGGGGCGGCGGCGGATACTTGGGGGATGGCGGTCGCGGGGGGGACTTCACCGGCGGTGGAGGGCGAGGAGGTCTGGGGGAAGGCGGCGGCGATTTGAGCCTCAAGGGCGGCGACGAGCGCGGAGGTGGAGGTGGCGAGGCAGCGCGCGCCGTTTCTGCCGCAAGACTTATCACTGCAGAGTAGATGTGAGGTGAAGTGCGGACGTCCAGCAAGGTGCATATCAAGCAGAGGGGGAAGAGGTGCGAAGCACAGGCAGAGGCAGCGAGTTAGGGACGGTCAGGGGCACGAAGGCGCGAGAGCGGAAGGCCGACTTCAAAGTTAGCGATTTAGAGATTTAGGAAGTAGTATATGTTAAGTATTTCATTAATGGCAGACGTGATGGCTGGATGGCCAGCGCGATATGAAGCACAAAAGGTGAAGGACAAAGGGAAGCCAGAAGGCAGCAAGAGCGTCGTGCCAAACAAAAGTTATATTTTATCACAAGTAATGTTCCTACCTGTAAGGATTATGGTTGCGATTGCAAATGTTCGCCACCCGTAGCCGGTCGAAGCCATTTTGCAACAGCGATTTGCCTCACTCCGTCGATAACAAAAAGTACCCTTATACATATACCCTAGATATACATTAAAATGTTTCGCTCAAATGTAAATGAGGCCGCTTTCACCTATTGTGAATTCGTACTTTTGCTTTCTTATTAAGTTCACAAGGGTTCATAAGGCCCGACACGCTGCACGTACAGCGGTTAGGTGGGCGGAGGTGTTACGTAAATCTGTACTAGGTGATTTCGCATGGGCTTTTCCTACCTTCCGAATACGTTGCGCGCTGTTCGATCTTCAGGATGGTACAACAAGAAAACTGTTGTACCCTACGAGTAAAAGCGCTTCCGAAACCTCTCATCGCTGATCAGCAAGTTCTGCAGCGGTGATTACCGCCAAATGCGCCACTGTCGCCCCTTACCTCCTTCACTGGTGTCTATCATACTTCCATACACAGGTTTTGTGTGTAATAAGGGGGTGGTGATCTGTAAATGGTTATGCTTATGGTTACCGCTAGGAAAGGGTGGATGGAGGTTTAGGGTCCATGCTGTCCAAACTGTTTGGTTGCACAGTAACAGGGAATAAAGTTGTCAGAGCTGGCAGCAGGGACAATAGAGTGTAGAAATGAATGTTATTACGAGTTTGCCGCCGAGATTTCCGGAGCCCCTGTTTGGCGGCAGTTTGCGGCTTTCCAAGGACTTCGCTTTCATTTTCCCTGTCGCGTGGACTTCTGGCACCTCTATCCTCCTTTGCGTGTCCTCTGATCGCGTCGCCGGGGCTTTGCGGTTTGCTTTGTCTTCCGTCGCCTTTTGCGGGTACGGTGGTTGTTTGGATGACTGTTCTGATTCTGATATCAGGGCAGGTTGAATTCACTCCATCTTTTGGAAACCCTCTTCTGCTGCATTAGTTAGCAGGGGCCAGATTTGGTACATAGAGGTCTGGCCAGCAGATTACGGTTTTGGCATCGGTCGCAGCTGCTGGCCTGCCGGTCGTGATGTACTTACCTGCTGGCCAAAAAAAAACGTAGATCTTTTTTTCATGTGACTCGTTTCAGTTTGCATTTGTATTCCAAAAGTGATGTATGGATTAATAAGTCTGCGCCAATCATACTTCCGCCTCTGCGGGCTGTTGTATATCTGACAAGAAGCTTGTCAGCAGTTTGTGGCTGTTGTTGCTTTTTGTACGATGCATGATGACTCTGTGCTTTCGCAGTCCGTTGTTGCCGGTTTCCATACATATAGTTACGATGGTCATCGCATAATGATGCGCCGTCCATGGAGCCGTCCATGGGGCCCCGCCGGCTTTTACGGCGGACGCCGCCCCTAAGGCATCAATGCGCATCACTTATTTGTAACTGCTTACTGGCATCGTCATGAGCCGTACGTCATGAGTCCCGCTGACTCCTAAGGTATTGGACAGCTCTGCAATCAGTGCGATATGTGTAAAACAGTAACAACGTAAATGCAGTAAAACAGTAACGACTGTAACAAGCACAAGACTACGATGGCCGAATATCGAGCGTTGGTCTTTGCTCCGGCCGGATATCGAAATGGCCGAATATCGAGCGTTGGTCTTTGCGGATCCGCCGTACATGTACTACAACAATTGTAGGTTTATTTCATAGTACCGCAAATCCATCCACATTAAAACGACATCATTATGGCTGTTGCCTCATTGTTGGGGTGTATGCCTGAACAGGCAATGTGACGCCGTCATGAGTGTGAAGGACAATCATTCCGTTTTCCTTTTAGCTCGTGGCCAGGTTTTCTACTCCGACCACAGCCAGCTGCTGCAAGCAAGCGACGCGGAGCAGTAAGGAACAAGATCGGATACGACGACGAGTACAGATCGTACACTATCCCTTTTAACAAGTTGAAAGCAATATTACTGCATCCCCCGAATGCTATTCACATCATCCATGAATATGAAGCATGTGTGAAGAAAAGGCGCGGAAAGACAGCAATATACTATGTGTGTGTGTGTGTGTGTGTGTGTGGTTGTTACAGTGGGCTCCAGACTCCCGAAGAGTAGAGCCATCGGGCCAGCTGGCCGTGCACTGCAGTAGAGACTAATATACCAATAAAGATCATCACCTCAGATAATTAACCGCTCATCGGTAACCGCTCTCGCGAGCACAGCAATTTGCCAGATATAATTCTCAAGAAGGGGTGATGTGCGCCAACTATGTGTGTGAGTTCAGCCACCCCTTATTTTGTAAAATGGTGCCCAATATGCTTTCGGAGCACCCATCTTCCGACGTAAGCAACAGGTCGGGTCACGTCCAACACCGTTGACATCGTTGACAAATGTGGTTTCCCTCTCCTCATAGTGCTGAATAAGAAACGCCACGAGCCCTTCATCCGTTCCTACCCAGAAGCTAACAGGCCAGACTGCAGGTCGCCGTTCCAGTTGGTGACCTTGTACCTCAACCCCACCACACCGCATGCTAAAATTTTTATTGGGATTCAAAGAATTGACCGCTATATATACAATTGATTGAAACATTATTAGCTGACGAACCAGAGCCCTGGCAGTATGCTGCTAGCGACTGGCCGGAAACCTAACATAGCTCACATCCATGGAGGCCGTCGTTTTGTTGGTACCAATAGGCTAGATTGGAGATTTATCCGCGGTAATCGGACGCGTGTAGCGGATTTAACAGTTAAAATAGCCTGAAATAGCGACGTCGTTTATTTTGCATCGTCTTTTGATGACCGTAATCAAGCGCATGTGCTGTTTGTGCGGGAAGCAGTTAACATTCCTTTCCCACAGCAACCACCATCTGGGGCAATCCATATGATTGCATGTGTCTTTGCATGCGCGGAGCCTTGTCTGTTGCGTGTGTCGGGTTTCCTGTCTCGTCCTTGCAGCCCTGCTTGTGGCGCTTGAGCGCGTGTGTGTTTCCTTCACTTGAAACCATCCACGATGAAGCCGGACATTCCCAGTCTGACTTCAACATCAGAGGCATTTCCTGCATCGTACCTGCCTGCTAAGCACTCCCTCTGAGCACTCTGCCTGCCGCTCCCTTCTGCTCGCGCATACACCTTCCACTGCCTTCTTCTTCTTCTTCTTCTTCTTGTACGTGCTTACGACTGTGGATGGCTCGGCCTGGTGCGACTGCCTTAACACCGAGCGAGTCGTATGGAGCTGGTAGGTACTTCGTTGCGAGCGAATTAACTCTGACGTGCTTTGCTTTTCCCCTCTCCCTTAACCGTCATGCAGGTCGTCCTCGAAGAGCAGACACAGCTGGTATGAGCCTCGTGCTCTTTCCTCGTTGTTGAGCGGTCTTTCAGATAAGGAGGGGTTGCTTGAGAATTGTAAAATGGGTTATGGGGTTTTAGGCAGGTTGGGTGCGGTTGTGGGGGTTGGGATGATGCAGGTGCTACTGCTGTGCCGTACACCGTACATCACGGGATATTGTTGGCTTTGGTGTGTCTCTATGCCTTGTCCCGCATGATTGTTTAAATTGTGCCATTAGGACTTAGCTGTTTAGTGACGACAGCAGCAGCAACAGCAGAAACAGCAGCAGAAAAAAAGTTGCAGCGATGACAGCAGCAGCAAAGCGCAGTAAAACAACCCCAGGAAAACCAACCAGCACCGGGTCACTAAACAGCTAAGTCCTAATGGCACAATTGAAACAATCATGCGGGACAAGGCATAGAGACACACCAAAGCCAACAATATCCCGCGATGTACGGTGTACGGCACTTAAGCATAGCACTCTTGGGGGGGTGCGAATGCCAGGTGTGAATGCCACTTTTCACTCTGTCCACTTCACACAGACGTAAGGAGGCGCATACATCGGTATAATTTACGTTGGTTAGCGTCGTTTGTTAATGCCGTTTGTTCGTTAATTCGTCTTAGCTACTCTCCCGTTGTTGACTCACTCCTCTGGATGTGTGTCAGTCAAAACAAGCTCCAGTACGAAGGTGAGGACAACACACACACACATACACACATACACACACACACACAGGCACACAGTCACACAGTCACACAGGCACACGCACACGCACACGCACACGCACACGCACACACACACACACACACACACGCACGCCCACGCCCACGCACACGCACGCGCGCGCGCGCGCACGCGCACGCACACGCACACGCACGCGCGCGCACGCGCACGCACACGCACACGCACGCGCGCGCACGCGCACGCGCACGCACACGCACACGCACGCGCACGCACGCGCACACGCACACGCACACGC